AATTGATAAAAAACATCTTGTCTTTTTCAGTTGTTGCTGTACAAACTTAGATTAAAATAGAATGGTTTCGAATAATGACATTTTAGAGAGATAGACGTTTCTAAAGTGTGGCCCGTTAAGGGCCAGAAAGAAAAGAACACAGGAAGAAGAAGAAGGTAGGCTGAACAAGTGTATTGAAATAACAGAATATATATATATATATATATATATATATATATATATATATATATATATATATATATATATATATATATATATATATATATATATATATATATATATATATAAAATAAAGTGTTATTAGTCAGCAGATAGAAGTGTCCGTCCGAACTGTCAGGTTACACTGCATCCCAACTGCCTCGTCCGGGTTGCTATCTGCCAAAGCAGAGAGTTCGACAGAAGTCACACACAGTCAGAGACCGCATCCCAACTGCCGATATTTAACATCCCCCCCAGGAAGAATGTGTGTGGCACAAGGCCGGGTTTAACGTGGGTTTCTCCGAGCCCGTTGGCTCGGCCAAAAATATTCCATTTGAACCCGCACAAGCGGGTTCGGGATCTGTCTACCTCCCCGGACGAAACGTTGCCCTTCGGCAAAGCTTCGTTCGGGTTCCTCTCTGTCAAAGCAGAGAGTTCGACAGAATTCGCACACAGTCAGAGACTGCATCCCAACTGCTTCCCTAGGAAGTCTCACTGGTTAGTATTTATAAAGGAGGAAGAATTAATTCTAATGTAGATAGGACATAAAGACTGGCGGAAGAAAATCTTCCTATTCTATTTTTATTCCCTGTACTTTTAAAAAAAATATTTAGTACATAACTACAGTGAGTACTAAAGCAGTTCAACTTTGACACAATCTGATTGAGTGAACAACTATTAGAACTTGCTTTTCCTGGCTTGGGAGATATGCTTACTAACCTCTTGACGACTGGTAGGTGTTCATGCAAAGTTATTTATCGTACAGTGGGGCCATTTCTCATATTGATTTGTAGAACATGGGGTGGCGGTTGCGTGTGCGTGAAGATGAATAGTTTTGAGAAATGGTATTTTGTGGTTGATGGGGAGCGGGCGAATTAGGGAGAGTGTGAAGTTAGGATTACTTGTCAATTTAAGCGAAGAGATGGTTTATGTGCGGGCCAAAACTTGCAGGCGTGTAAGAGCAAAATAGAATAGAAAATATATGATTGTGAATGTGAAAAAGAACTGGAGTTGGTCGTAAATATATCGTAGTCAAAAAAAAAAAAAATGAGCGTGAGGGAACTAGCCAAGGTAAAAAGGTCTTTGATTGAAACGTCTTGGTATTGAATAAAGAGACATACCCACTCACTCGTGAAATCTGTGATATATATATATATATATATATATATATATATATATATATATATATATATATATATATATATTTTTATCGGATGCAAATAAAATAAATGTATTTAGAAACGAAAAATAAAAAAGTGTCAAAATCAGTTATAAAGGAATCGTTTTTATTAACAAATTAAAAAAAAATTATTACAATTTATAATTATTTTCAACGTATAGCATTTTCAGACATATGTCACCTTTTATTTGTATTTTTCATCAATTCACCTTAACAAATGAGAAAAAGAACGAAAATGACTTTACAAAGAAAAGGAGAACCAATCCTTAACAAGGGAATAACCTGTACTCTTTACAACAGACAGTGGAGGAGTGTGAACCGGGTTGGTAGGGCCACCTGTCAACTCCAATTCATAAAAAAATAAATAGTAGATAAAATTTCAGAAGCTTGCAGAGAAGTTAGATGTATAGATTTGGAATAGACTTTAGAAGGAACCAGAAGCCCAACCCTAAAATGAAAACAATGGATAAACGTGTACCCTTGTTCAAAAGACAGTGGAGGAGTGTGAATCGGGTAAGTAGATGAACCTATCTACTCCTATTGATAAAAAAAATAAAACAGTAGATAAAATTTCAGAAACTTGCAGAAACGTTAGATGTATAGAGTTTTAGTAGACTTTAGAAGGCACTGGGAACGCAACCCTGAACAAGAAGCAAGGGACAAACCTCTACTGCTGTTCAAAAGACCATTGAGAACGGGGAAACGAATTTATAAGCGAACCTATCGATTCCTACTTGGGAAGATAAATAATAGACAAAATTCCAGAGTTTATGCAGTGACGTTAGATGTGTAGAATAAAAATAGACTTTATAAAATCAGATTTTCTTCAATGGAATTTTTTAAATCACCAAGTGGTGGCAGACTTTCTTTTTTAAAACCGCCTTCCTTCTAGAAAAAATCTAGAACTATAATATCAGGGGAACTTGCTGCCCAAATCAGTGGTCCTATTCTTCCTAACCAGCGATTTGATGATATTGTATCCCGGAGAATAATAAGTAGTTGCGCATTGTTTTGCCGTTTGCGAAGTGCTTCTGGATAGTTATAAATAAAAAGAAAAAAAATAATTGTCCAGTGTTCATGTCGCACCTACTTTTCACCTGTAATACTTCAATGATGAAACGTTCTGTCTACTAATTGGTGGCAACATCAAGGCTATTATTTTCTGATTGGTTGATATTTATCAATTATTTCTGTTGGTTCGCTACCATCAAATACATTT